GCCGCGACAGCAAGCCTTTTTCCTCCCTGTCTCCGGGACTGAAATCTACGCACGGACAAAGTCAAAAAGGTCCTAGCAGAGCAAGGTTTCGATCCTCGGACCTCTGGGTTATGGGCCCAGCACGCTTCCACTGCGCCACTCTGCTGCTCGTGGAGCGATCGCGGCGCCCGCATGCTTTCTACGGCGAACGGCGACCGGCGACCTCAAAAAACAACTGCAACAACACAGTGCGACAGCCGGGAATCGAACCCGGATCAACTGCTTGGAAGGCAACTATGCTAACCACTACACCACTGTCGCTCCCACACGCCTGACGCCCGCGACAACGCTCTGAATAACCACATCCACTTGTCCCCGCACCCATCGTCCTGGCCTCAAGCAGCACGCCAAGCCCGCAACCACCGCAAGCCCGTGGCGTCCCCCATCGCCCCGGTTCCGTGGTGTAGTGGTCATCACGTCTGCTTTACACGCAGAAGGTCCCCAGTTCGACCCTGGGCGGAATCAGCTCCCCTGTTTTGTTTCCTCACAGCCCTACTGTTTCGCCGGTCCCGTCGACCAGTGCTGCAGTGGCGGCCGCGGGGCCAGCAGGCCCGACTCCCTCACTCGACTCCGTGGCGCAACGGTAGCGCGTCTGACTCCAGATCAGAAGGTTGCGTGTTCAAGTCACGTCGGGGTCATGCGAAACCGTTTTGTCTGACCGCAGTCGCCACGCACGAAGCCTGCCCCCGAGATTCGAATCGGTCGTCGCAGAGGATGGCCTTCATGGCTCAGTGGCTAGAGCACCGGTCAAATATTCAATAAATGAGATATAAACCGGGGGTCGGGAGTTCGAATCTCCCTGGAGGCACGCTTACCTTAATTTTAATTATTTCGTGCGACTCTTCTCGGGTCGGGCTTCTTGGACCGCCCCACGCCCCACTCTGCCCACCCAGCCCCTGTGGCCTAATGGATAAGGCATCGGGCTCCTAAACCGGGGATTGAGGGTTCGAGTCCCTCCAGGGGTATTCAGCGGCCGGAGTGCTTATTTTAGGACTGCCTGTCTTTGCAGTAGTTCCGTGATTTCTTTTAAAGACGATTTCGTTGTTGTGCTCTTGTGCTCTCTGTTCGTTTTTGGCTTTCTTGTTAGTGGAAAAGCGCTGATCTCCGGCTGTAAAACGACATATCAGAAGTGGGATTTGAACCCACGCCCTCAGATGGGGACCAGATCACTCGAACCCGGGTCAATCGGGCAAGGCAGAAACCTTGAGTCTGGCGCCTTAGACCGCTCGGCCATCCTGACAAGTTGACTGCGGCCGACGGGCAGCGCCGCCCGCCTCCCCGCGCCGCTGCCGCCCGGGATGCGCGTCTCTGCGCCACGACCTGACGTACAACGCCCACGCCATCCGGTATGGGCTAGTGGCTAGGATACCTGGCTTTCACCCAGGTGGCCCGGGTTCGATTCCTGGTACCGGAATCGTCTTTTCTAGTTTCCTTACCCTTTCGTTTTCCTTTGTTTGACAGTGT